ACATTGGCTGGCTCCCGCGATTCGCTGTGTGAGCAGGTCGCATTTGAATGCCACGAATTAGAATGATGGGAGCAAGTGCGTGGCGTACCCCCAAATTGATCAGTGAGAAATTTATCTTTATTATCCTTTATTTTGTGGAATAATTACGCAAACCCTTCCCTTCTCCTTCTCTTTCCCTTTCCCCTTTTGGCATCCCTTCCCATCCTCTATCCCTTTCCCTTTTCTGCATCTCTTTCCCTTTTCCGCTGACCGCTTTTCATTTCCCATTAGACCTTTCCCTTTCTACTCTCATTTTTTACTCCCCCTTTACCCTCTCCACCATCCGCTCTTCTTCCCCTTCTGTTTTCTCCTCTCCACTTTCCGTCTTCCACTTTCCTTTCCCCCTTACCTCCTTTTTGGGTAGCAGTATCTCCTTACATTTCCCCTTTTCCCTTTCTTATTTTCCTTGATCCTCGTTTTACTCTATCGAACGGGTAATTTCGAATATGGACCCCAACAACGCTGGTAATTTGCAATTATTAGTGTTTCGACTACCGCCTAAGAACTAAGCATGGGTATTTTCTTATCAACTGCCACTTGTCACTATTGAACTTGGTTTACACAACCATACGCAAATTTTAGGGAACGGCAATGATGGGAAGTGTCTTGATTAGTCATAGAATGAACTTTGAGTCCTGCTAAACTCCTTTTAGTGCTCGTCAGCAAAAAAATGAGACCGGAGATATGGATTTCAATGTTCGGAACTTGGTTTCTCTGAGACTGATCTGTCAACCATCGGATTTTGTCGACAAGGTTTCCTGTAAATAATGGAAAGTTGATTTTACGTAATAACTGAGGCCAATTTTGTTGAAGAAAAAATATTCAACTCTTCCGAGTCGATAATATCAGTTTTTGGGCCGCTCCTAATTAATCCCGACTACATCATTATTTTTACGGTTGTTGTCGCTTTTTAATTTTATCAATCTCTGAAAAGGTCTCCTAGTTTGTGTCGATTCTATCCCTCGCGTACTATGTTGTTGAATGTACTCTATGCGTGAGTGGAGAGCGAGAAGCCTTTTCAGGTCGCTACGGGTATGGCGTCGCCTGAACCAGCTGAGTCGAAGTCAGAGAACGATGTGAAGCTGTTCTCGGTGACTCTACCGCGGCCGATCGCCTATACATATCTCCTTTCTATACTCTACAACATAACATTCTTTATGCAATTCATGTCAACTCCGTATTTTCTCAAATCGTTAGGAGTTTCCGATACCGAAAACGGTAGGTCGATGGTTTTTATGGTGGTAACTTTTGAGGCTCTCCTTTTTACTGCGATCATACCGCAGGTGGCGGCGTGTAAGGTAGTGGCCAATTGAGGGTTGAAGAAAAATTTTTGGCATCGCCATAGCACGAGTTGTACGCGAGTTCGCTTCTTTCATGTATCCCGCTCAAGTAACTCTTCATGCTTGAGGTTTTCGATACCGTTTAGGCCCGTCGGGAGGGAAAGAGGCACCGCAAATCATTGTGTAGGGCAAAGCTGCATTCGAATGTTGCAACTATTGCAAAGCGGAATATGTAGCGTATTGCACAAGGGATTGACCAGCTTCGAACTCGTGTCTTTTATTTCGCTGAAAATGTTTCCTAGGGTAGTGCGGTGCGCCATGTACTAACAAGTCCACAAGCGTAGTACAGATCTTTGCACGCATTTTGAGTTTTTACTAGGCTAGTCGGTACTTTATTTGTTTACTAGCATACATGCCGCGACTTTGTGGGCCAAACTGCGTGCTAGGCTTCTAGTGGAAGCCTTGTCCCTACTTCTTTTTAGTTTTTTTGGTTGCGCTGTGAATGCTCTATTGATGATCTTGACAGGTACATCCCTAGACATTTCTGCATCCGCAAATGTGCGTTGGCCTCTTTTTGGCCTCCCTTGTCAGAGGCTTGCATTAATTGCTCTACACCATCTGCACGTTCTACAATGGTCTCAGGAATTTTGCTTTTCTTATCTTATGTAAGTTATTCAGTTGGATCTATGAAGTTCCTCACCGCTAGGCTCAGGCCAACTTTGGCAGTAAGTAACGCAAAATGAAAGTAACAGAAATGAAAATGTGCAACTTTAACTTCGAAAGAATTTTTTCTAAATAGGCATATTGAAATTTCATGAAAAAAAGCGAGGCCAATTTCGATGGCTGTAGGTTTCAATGGGGTACGCCACGTATTTGACTTTCATTTGCAACTGCAGCAGCATTCAAACAGGTTTTTGGTTCATGCCTTGAATAGGGTTCGTAGCCGAGCTAACGTACGAATAAATTTCGCTCTCCCAGAATCCTACAAAATTTGTTTCAAGTTGGAAGGAATACTGGGAGAGGAAATTGGTCTCGCGATCCACTTCTAGGAAGCTTCTCTGGGCGCTGACCCCTTCCCAAGAAGAACTGTGCTAACGTGTGTCGGAGTGCAACATTCACGAAAAGAAGGCCGTGGAATTTGAAAGCACACCCAGATGTTGCCGAGGAACGAAATTTTTCAGTCTAAGTATTGGACGTGAATAAAGAGAATTGGAAAGGTGCCTTGTAAATAGGTTGAAAGGAGATCATACGTTTCCGAATGAAAAGGTATATTAGAAGGAGGAAAAGGTTTCTATATATCCGCAAAAAGTGCAGCTTTCACGTCAATTTCATCTGTTATCGGCCATTGGAATTTAGGGGAATACCGTAGATATTCCATGAGACCGCTGGAAGGTCCTGCGACATTGAGAACAATTTCAAAAATTTCGTGACCTTTCTAGTAAGGGGTGTCGACACGACCCCCTCACATCACTACACGTAGAGGGGAACGCCAGCAAATACAACTCCCCCCAACTTCCAGCATCACCCTTACCCGTGGCTGTTCCTATAGAGCTTGATGTTTATACCAGTGATCACATCCCAACTCCGCTCACTTTTTCCTCTTGAACGGCATTTCTAGAGAAACGGCAAATGCTCCAACCAACTTTGCCCGTTTCCCTAGAAATGCTGCTAGAGTTGTGCCAGAAAAATCATTAGAACGACATCATTCCTCTACACCGCCACACGCCACCTCCTCCCCCCCGCCCGCTCCAACATCCAACTCCAAACCACCTCTAGAAATTTCGAATGCGACCCATCTCGTTGGTGAACTTAGTGCCGGTTGACTCTGGACCATGATTTTCTAATAAGGAACACTTTCTGGAGGATCGCAATTTTGAATCATTCAATGAAGTTGATGAGAGGTGCCGCTTCTTCAATTCTGTACCGAGGATTTGGGAATTCGTGCTTCATGTAAAACCGGAAGATTGCAGATCGATTCGAGGAAGTTTTCGCAAATGATGTTTTTTGGAATAGAATCATTATTTTTATTTTTTGCATGGATTCATGCACCAATAAAAGTTTTCGTGGTGTGAAAACTTCCTCAACCTAATATAAAATAGTGCTTTTTTTAAGTAAGTGTAGTAGTTTACCAAACTATGACTAAAATGTAAATCAATAAAAAATGACCAATTTGGTTCCAGTGTTACGAATACAACTCAGTCAAGGTTGACGTTCCTGTCAGATTTGTTCCTTCAAGTGCACTTTTTTAGGATGTAAAGACCTTGATGCTCAGTCGAATACCGTGTATTTTCATGCATGGTCAACAAGGTCATCAAACTCTTCTGTCGGCTCTTACTAACCCCGGAAAAGAGCGCACGAACGCTTTTGGCAGGATGGGACTGACATTTGGTAAATTCATTTGGTAGAGTGAAAAAAGCTAACACTGTTCCTTATATTGTTCTATTTTCAGGACTCGGATTTATTTTCACTCCAATTTTCTCTTTTATTTCGACCAGCTTCTTTTCTATAACTGGTCCTATAACTTGTTTCTGCAGTGCTTTGTATTGTGCCATCGCTGACTCTTGGAGAAACTGCATTCAGCGAAGTCATAGCGGAATGTAAACTGAACAAGCCCATCAAGGTTTCCTTTTAAGGTTTTCAATAGTACAGAAGCTTTTTTTTGTAGGACCAATGTGAAAATGTGGAGGAACGGTCGCAAAGCATGAGCGTTTCGAATGTAAGTCGGATTCTGAATAAGCCCGGAGTTCTGAATGTGATGTTCAAGAAGAATGCTCCTATACTGCCAATGCTGCTGGTATTCGCAATAATGCAGGTCAGCTATGATATAATTGTTTCAAGGGCATATCCTACGGTTGAACACTTCGAGGGTATTGCGTCTGAAAATGAAAAAAATAAAATTAAATAATAAATAAATAAAAATAAAATGAAAAAATGGTAGATAAGGTCTTCTTGGTCCTCTGGTGATGAATGAGAGTAAACAAAGGCCGCTAATAACCCTGGAAGTCGATTACACTTGTCTCATGGGCGGTGTTAGCCCAACAACGGGCGTTTCTCTCACCTGATCGGCCCTCATCTTGACGTGGTACAATACAGTAAGGAACCGGCTCGAAAAAAATTGCCAATTCTTGCAGATGAAAATAGGAAAAACAGATGACCACTTGCATAGAGTTGCAAGGCGAAACGGGCATTGGGCAGAGGTGTCCGCATTATGTATCGCAACAAGACGCGGAGCAGAAGCACTCTGGCCTTGGCTTCCTCGCAATTATGGAGTACATTCCATCAGCTGTTTGCTAGTTTTTGTGGCTGGAAATGCTAGCAAGCTTTCATGATATGTTGTCCATCACAGAAATGCACTCAAAAAGAAGTCGAGAATCAGAGCTGCAAAATTTCGCCTTCTCGGATTAAGGGTTTTTACTTTACGCGATCGCTCTGCCAATGTCGACGTTGCATTTGTGGAGGGGAAACTATTTGGAAAGGATTCATTTTCGAGTAAATAAGTATTGAGTGTCTAGCAGTGATCACGAAGTCTTAGAGGGTGGTACAGCTTCGACAACGTCGTTGAACGCCATTTTAGACCAGACCCCTGCGTGCGCTGGAAGTGGGGTTGGACCGACTCGATGACGTTGTATGATACCTTGAAAAGCGCGCACATCTCCAGCCTTCGTGATCACCGCCTTCAAAAACCGCGTTCTCCAAGAACAGGGCCTTTTCGCTACTGTGAGCTAGTGTGGCTTTGTTGATCAAGAAAAAGAAATTGTTCCAGGTTGACTATTGGGTTACCAATGTTTAAATAATTATCATTTGCGGAATTTTGAAAGCAAATATGAATCAGACGGAGAATCTCACTCTGAATGGTTGACTCCTCAAAAAAGGGGATTAATTTATATTTGTAGTGACAATATTGTTTGTGGCCAGAAAAAATGCCCTAAACACGCTAGTTTGAGCTAGGAGCTGTAAAATTGTTCGGATGCGTTTTGAAAATTTGCTATTGTGCAATCTGGCGGGGAAACGCTCGCCTTCCATCGCACGTAGTCCTCGAAAGAGAGTTCCATTTTGAGTAGTCTTTTTCAGCTTTACCTTGTGGAGCAGTTCCAAGCAGATGTAAACACTGGTCAAGCGATTCATCCCCACTCGATGACTAGTATCCCGCCTCACCAGTCCATTTGTTGGTAAATGAAGTGGGAACGATAATATATTTAGCGTTGCGGGTGAATAGGACCTCTCAGTTCTAAGCTGTGTAGGAGTCAAATATGTGGTATCAGTATCAGCTAGCTATCAGTATAAGTCAAATCGTTGTGGGAGAATAGTAGGCTAGACGCACTTCATAAATTGAAGTCGAAACTAAGTAGGGGCATAACAGATGCAATAACAAAAATAATTAAATCCCTGAAGAACTAAGAAAGAAAAGAAGACAACGAAATAATAAATAATGAACTCCGCTCCGAGATGAGGAAGCATAGGTGATCAGTAATATGGCGCGCATGAGATGCTGTCGAGGTTGGCATGCACGGATCCATGGAATGTACAAGGATCTACGTCTCATGTTCTCAGTGTAGTGGTGCTACTCACGCACCCCCTCTGCAATTTTGGAGCCAGCAATTCATCGAGTGGAAGAATTTCTCTAGTGAAGCAGATCGCGTAACCTTAAGTTGCAAAACAGCTAGCGCTTATGATAGGGTTTTCGCGTTTCCATACTCAGTTATCCGAGGTTAATGTGGAACAATCAAGTACTAATGTGGCCGCCTTTTTTGTGTGAAAATTCAATGTCGCTCATTTTGAAACTTCTTTGAGTGTGAGATTTTCACAATATTTTAGTCCGCTAACTAAGTGGAGTCCACTGCTCTCTTTCAGGTGTATGCATTATGTTCAGCAATGGATTCGGTGTGATTTGGATGCGGAAAAAATTTACAGAACAAACTCTTCTGTTCATTGGAATGATTTTCTTTGTGAGTCATGTTATCGAGTTTTCAAGCCTAAAGTTAGTGACCATGATGGGTTAACATCAATGTTGGACGCGTCAGGCACTCTAAGTGTGCGCTCGCTCAGCTTTTTAGCAGGTTGCAACACACCACCATGTGGTACTTTGTTGGAAAATGAAACTGATAGTGGGCTAGTCGACTGGCCAGTCAATAAATAATGGAGGACCATCCAGAACTTCCTACGAGACGGCTTCAATTTTTACTGTATGGGCACAATTTAAGTTGCGGACCTGCACATGGAGTCAGCGTGAAGAAAATAAGGTGGAGAGGCATAAAGGATATGCGGTGGCTGAAACAGCCTCGCTGCTTTACCGACAACGCCTGGGCAGGCGGTATTCAGCGCGAATGATAAGGGTTACGCGTCTTTGGACATGTCCTTTCTTGCTTTGAGAACGGCATAGATTTCATCGTCAGTGGACAAATCCCCATTTGCGAGGGAATTCGTTCTGTTGTGGTTAGCTTGATCGCGCGGAGTGTGCTTTGGAGACAATTTCTATGATGAACGGGGTGGACTGGCGCTCAAAAACGATGATAGGATAGCATAGGAAAACCTTCAAAAACTTTGGACTTGGGCAGTGGTTTGCGGGGTTTTTTTATACATTTTTTTCATCTTTGGATGAATGCATAATCAACTTAGAGCAGCTGAACATTTAGAGAAGTTTCTCTCTCTTCAAACCCTCCCGTCCGCGTGCCCTCAAGTCAAGAGGAATGATGTCGATGATGGGTTGGACCTTTGGATAAGTCCCCAGGGAATTCAAGTCATTTGGAGCCGCGAATCCGACACCTATGAAACCCTCTGATCTGCAGAAGATACTGATCCGCTCAGCTTATCCTAAAAACGAACTTCGAGTGAATTTGAAGATACGGTAGCATGCTTATTTCAGTCAGTCGCATTCGGGCTTTTCTTCTTTTTCCACTGGCTATGGATGATCGTGGTAGTCATGCCGTTCATTGCTTTCGGAATGAGCTTGGTCGCGACTGTTGCTGACAGTTTACTCACCGCACTTGTCGCCGAGAACGAGCAGGTAGGCAGACGTTACACTCAAGTAGATTTATGTCTGACTCTCTTAGTTTAGGGCTTGGTCCTTGGCGTCGCGACGTCGTTCAATTCGTTGCTTCGAACGTTTGCTCCAACGATCTCTGGCTACATTCTGGAGACTTTTGGCTTCTCCACTTTCGCTCTAATCGGCTCTATATCAACGGCTGTTGGCCATGCAGCTATTTTTCTCTTTCCACTTCAAGAAAGTTTATTACGGAAGCCAAAAGCTGAATAACCGCTCTTTAGTGTTCTTATTTGCATTTTTCCAAGAAATTACTACCTCTATTCGATGAGCTTTAATGTTCTAGTCATTTGATGTAAATAAACTACAAGTTCACTTATTTTCTTCATTATTACTATAGCGGTAGGTGTCTGCTAGCAATAGAGATATTGTTAACTGTGTGGAAGTATTTCTCTTTCATTCGAGGACGCAGTTGTTGAATGTTAATCTCAGCTCTTGCCCTAAACACAATAAATGTTGATTCGAAAGATGTCACATTATCGTCCACCTATGCGATCTAGACGGAGGAGTTGTGTTTGACTCGGGAGGGTGGGCGAGGGTAGTAAATTCATCAAGTGAAGTCGTCAAGGTTGATCACTTCAAGCTGGTCGTGATGTAAAGCCATTCAAATTGTCGTAACCTCTGCTCCCAGTTAACATTTTGGGAAGCTCACCCGGGAGGTCTTTCGGGCCAGGCCGCGCACTTTTTCGAATAATTTGAATATTGTAGGGACGCATGTGTGGATCACAAAAGCCATGTTTCATTTTCGCTGAACGGTTCTACAGTACCAAAAAAGAATTGAAAGGTACTGTTGATGGTTCGATCCCCCGTGGTGGTTAAATTTTGCATTTTAGGTTGACGTCTATGGGTTGGTAAGAAATGGCTTCAAAACATCCAGGGATGCCATGTTTGGACCATATTGAGGCCGAAAATTATGTAGCTGTCAATTCTGATGTTACGGGGAATCTGACCGTTAGCAGTAACCTTCACTACTTTTTGATACTATTGGATTGTTCCGTAACTCCTGTCGTAATTATTTTTTAATTTCTTCAAGTCAAATTAGTGTCATTGCCAAATACAGGGGTGGCCAAAAAAAGACACTTTGCCCATGGCGCACATCATCAAAGTTTTCGTCGCACAGGGTGCCGCTGTTAATGAAAGTTTTACGGCAAATATTCCTTAGATGTCCTCCCATAAGCAGAAGCAGGCCCTCCTTCACTGCCCTCACCGTCCTCAAAATATGACGTCATCTTCCATCACCGTTCAG